CGCGGGTCCCGGTCCCGGGCGGCGCCGAGCCGAGCGGCGGACGCCGGCCTGGCCCCGCCTCGCGCTCGTCGGGCCGCGCGGCCGGGCTGCCCACGCCGCCCCGCTGCCCGCGCCGCCCGGCGCCAAGATTCAAACGGCGCGGCCGGCCCGGGGAACTCGGCGGCTCCGGGCGCAGAGCGCGCGCCCTGCGCCGGGCCGTGCGGTTTCCGGAGCGGGAAAAGTGGTCTGAGTCCTCCTACACGGCGGGGTCGTCTCTGGGGAGCTGAGGCTGCCCAGGGGTCTGCTCGGCCCCCGGGAGCCGGGAACTGGGTGCCGGGGAGCCCGCCAGCCCGTCCCATCCCCTCCGTCTGCAGCGCGCTTGCCGCGTGTCTCGTGCCGCGCTGGCGGGCCCGGGAGCCGGGGTCGGGAGGAACGCGTGGCCTTTACGGAGCCCCGGTCCCACTCTGGGAGACACAGGCATGGCCACAGCACCCTCCTGGGTGATCGCCTAAGCGTGCTGCCGACGCCCGGACCTGCCAGTCACCCTACAAGGTCATAATCCAGGTGCTGGAACGAGTGTGACTGGTGTGCCCCGGCAGAAGTTTGATTGTATGCCAAGTATTATGGATCCCTGAGTTGGGGTCGCCCCACCCTGCCCTCGAGGGCCAGGAGTGGTTTACCCCGGTAAGGTATTTCCCGGAAGAGGGGTTTTGCAGAAACTGGCGGCTTTTCTGTCCCCCTGGGGTGCAGGAGCACCGTATTTGACTAGGTGAGCAGCAGTTTTGTAGAAGTGAAGCCGGGGCTCCAGGCACAGGGCAGGTTTGCGGGTCTGGACTCGGAATACTGTCTGGACACAGATAGCAGGTGAGCTTAGTCAAGAGCAGCAGCAGCGTAGAGCCTGGAAGAGGAACCGCCGGTTCAGCAGCCGTCTAGGGGCCTGAGCAATAGTACAGTGGGTAGGGCGCTTGTCTTGCTCACCACAGACCCTGCTTCCATCTCCAGTATCCCATATGGACCCCCAACGGCACCAGAGTGATTCTGGAGTGCAGAGCCAGGAGTAACCCCTGAGCATCGCCAGGTGTGGTCAAGTCCCCCACCCACCCACCCACCATCCCCAGCTTCTGAGCATTTCCTGTTTCTCCCGCTGAGCAGCATGGCCACTTTGAGCACATCTCCCGGAAGCAGGCAGCTCTTTTCCTAGGGGAAAGGGAACATCCGTGAACCCAGGCTCTGTTAAGAGGCCTCAGTTCCTGGGTGTCTCTATCTGGCTCATAGAAGCTCAGCAAATGTGAGTTGACAGCTGAGACAGGTGAGCCTGCCCCTCTGGGAACTTCTCACAGAGATTCTTGTGTGTCTGAGTCTGGCCAGAGTGTTTATCTCCTGGTGGGGACAGGCCGCCTGGCGGTGGGCGGACTGCCTGAGGGGACAGCTGCTGTGAGTAGACTCCCTTTGCAGAAATGAGGCTGGTGAGGTCATAGGGGGTCAAAGGAAGTCCAGGTCCCTGGTAGACTGTAGTCTGGTGTGTCTTTCACCAGATGAGGAAACTGAGTTCTAAACAGAACTGAGGAGAGGGACCCTCCAGCCCAGTGGGGCAGTGGACAAGACACAGGATTCCATGCCACATGTGTGGCCTGGGAACTTTCCTCTAAGTCTCCTGGTCCTTCCTTTTCTCCCTTTCCTCCCCGGGGATGCCCCACCCACACTCCTGGCAGTGCTCACCTGGCATTCAGGCCTGATGGTCCAGTCTGGTTACCAGGGCTACACCCAGCAGTATCTGGGGGGGCCAGGTGGTTTAGGGAATCACTCACATACTTCTGTGAGTGAGGGGATCACTCACATACCTTTGCATGACCTTCCTGTCCTGTTTTTATCTTCTTTGAGTGGCAGGGGCTGTGATGGGATGGGGGTGTAGGCCATATCTGACAGGGCTACGGTTGCCGCCAGCTCAGTTCTTAGGGACCATGTGGGATGCTGGGGATTGAACCTGGTATTCCATATGCAAAGCATGTGCCCCAGCCCTTTGAACTATTATTATTATTATTGATCGGTCATGGTCCTCCTGTTATTCATCGATTTGCTCGAGAGGGCCCAGTAACATCTCCATCATGAGACTTGTTGTTACTGTGTTTGGCATATTGAATACATCATGGGTAGCTTGCCAGGCTTTGCTGTGCGGGCGATATACTCTCAGTAGCTTGCCAGGCTCTCCGAGAGGGGCGGAGGAATCAAACCCAGCTCAGCCGGCTGGCTGCATGCAAGGTGAACGCCCTGCTGCTGTGCTTGGGGCCCACACCCAGCAGTGCTCAGGGCTTGGCTTCCGCCTGGCTCTGTGCTTAGGATCACTCCTAGAAGTGCTCAGGGGACAGTATGGGGTGCCAGGGATCGAACATGCGAGACAAACACCCTGCCTGCTGTACTGTCTCATTGTGCCCTCCTCTGTGTGTGACTTCAGTATCACAGGAAGAATCTTTAAGAGGCAAGGTGGAGGGGAGGAGACCACCCCAGGGGAAATGGAAAGATGCAGGACTCTCAGAACTGCTTTATCAGCCGTTATCAGTGACTAAACCAGACCCTGTCACAGCCCGTAGTGGCTCAGCCTAGCGGCCCTTGGGTACTTCTTAGTCTTCGGTGCTTTCTTCTTTTCCCATAGGTCAGTGCAATGTCCAGAGACCCCCTCCCCGCAAACTCATACTGTAGAGTGGGGCCTGTCCCAAGAAAGGGGGTGTGGGAGTGCTGCCTGAGAGGGGCTTAGGGCTCAATGTCATTGTGATTGTAGCTTTGAGTCTCTCTCCCTGCCTCTTCCATGGAGAACGGAGGTGAGTTGTCTCGTTCAGAACTGCGTCGCACGGGGCAGATCCTGGACAGGGCAGTACCACCAGCTCTACAAGGATTGCCTAGGATTAGCCCTTCTCTTCATACACATAGCAGATGGATGGATACTGTTACTGCTGTTTTACTGGGAAGCCCGGAGGAAACAATCACCAAGAGGTCCAATAACTTTGCCCGTGATCAGATTGCTAGAAAGTCACTCTGTCCGGATTCTGGCCTGGAGGCTGTGCTACCTGCTTTACTTCTCACCTAGGTCTCTGAGCAGGCCTAGCCCCAGCCTGCACTCTGGAGTCCAAAGTGCAGAGTTTGGGGGCCCCTGGCTTAAATGACCTGGTTTTCAGCTTTCACAACCTTTAAAGACCAGGAGCACAGCAGACAATGTGGGGGTTGGGAGGGAGAGAGAGAAAGTTTGCTTGCTTGCTTGCTTTTTTTTTTTTTTTTTTTGTGGCACTGGGCTTGAACCACATGCAGAGAGACAACAGGCTCTACTGCTGAGCTCTATATGTCCTTTGCCCCAAAGGCTTTCAACACAATTTGGGCTGGATTAGAAATAGAATTTTGTGGAGTACCTGTTCCTAGCTGAGAGTTGTGGCGGGGGGAATGCAAAGGGACTGGGACTGAAGTCCACTTGTTCTAATAATGCATAGGTGATTTTCTTCTTCCCCTTTTCTAACACCTGGTGTTGGTGGCCACGGAAATGGCTCAAACGACTAGACTGTGGGGTTGTGGACTGGAGCGAGTAGAGCGCGTTGCTTTGCATTCTGCTAATCCAGGTTTAACCCGTGTACCACTAGCCGTGACCGCTCTTCAAAAAAAAACAAAAACGGCTGGAGCAGGTGACTGACCCGGTTTTGATCCCAAGCACCCTTTATGGTTCCCCGAGCCAGCTCAGAGTGATCCCTGGAGTACAAAGCCAGGAGTAAGCCCTAAGTACTGCTGGGGGTGGCTCCACCCCCCCCCCAAAAAAATTTTATGTGTAATACCTGGTGTTTATATGTTAATATGAGCACATTTACAGTGTGTCTTGTTGAACTGCTCAGGAAAACCCAGGTTCCTCCCAGGAATGATTCTTTTTTGTGAGGTGGGGGATGATAAGGGCCACCCCCTGGTACTCAGGATATTTGTGGCTCTGCTCAGGAGTGACCAACCCTGGAGATGCTTGGAGAACTATATAGAGTTGAGGAATTGAATTGGGGTTTGTCACGTGCAAGGCAAAACCCCACCCCTTACTATTGCTCTGGCCTCAGGAGTGATTGTCACAGCCCACAAGTGGGTTTTATTGTTTTGGGGGTCACACCCTGCAGTGCTCAGGGCTTCAGTTTTGGGGTTTGGGCCATACTGGGTCATGCTCAGGGCTTTCTCCTCCTGTTTCTGCGCTCGGGGATCACTCCTGACTGACTCTTGGGACCGTATGTGGCACTGGGAATTGAGCCCAGTTTGGCTGCATGTAAGGCAGCATCTTCCTCTTTTGCAGTCTCTCTGGCCCTAATAACAGTAGTTTTTCAAAGAAAGGTATCCACACTCATCGGTGTATTTTTATTCCCTGCCTGGCGCTTGGGGAACCATGCCTTAGGGGGTTAAACTCAGGGCTCCTGTTTGCAAGGCATATGCTCAGTCCATCATCCCTCTAGCCCACGAATTTATTTCTTTATCCTTTTATGTTTTAGTGGTTTTGAGGCTATATCATACGGTGTTCAGGGCTTACTCCTGACTCTACTTAGAGATCACTCCTGGAGGTACTCAGGGGAGCTTATGGGATGCTGGGGGTTAAACACAGATTTGCCATATGCAAGACAATCTTCTTACCTGCTGTATTATCTCTAGTTCATCTCCACTTTTTTTTTTATTTAGACACTGTGATTTACATAGTTGTTTTCAATAGCTATTGATACCTTTCCTTATGTATTGAACCTTTATGAGTGTGTTAAGTGTGTGTGTGTCTGTGTGTGTGTGTATGTGTTTGTATTGTGTGGAGACACAAGAGCCAGGATGGAACTCAGGGTTTCACAAATTCTAGGCATATTCTCTACCATTTGAGCCATATTCCTGACCCCTATAATCTTACTTCTCAGGTTACCATTGTTAACATTTGGTCTGTTGCCCACATACCATGTTTTTTCATGTATTTTTTTAATTCAAAATTGGATGAGCTGCTTTTTTCAGTTTTTTTTTTTTTTTATTTTACTTGGCAGTGGTGAACGTCTTCCAAATCACTAAGTGTTTGCAAGGGGATCGTGTGGTACTGAGGATTGAACCGAGGACAATTGCATGTAAGACAAGCGCCTTAACACCTGAACTAGCTCTCCAGCTCAGAAAGTGTTATTTTTCATGGCTTCCTGTCATGAACGTAACAACACATGGTACTCCTCCTAGTCCCACTATAGAGGCTCCTGGGCATTTATTGTTTTGGAATTTTTTTTTTAACCCCAGTGATGCACAGGGGTTGCTCCTGACTCTGCACTCAGGAATTGCTCCTGGTGGTGCTTGGGGGACCATATGGGATGCTGGGAATCGAACACGGGTCGGCCGCATGCAAGGCAAATGCCCTACCTGCTGTGCTATCGCTCCATCTCCTGGAATTTTTTTTTTAACCCTATGAAGAATATTTAATTCGGTATCCCACTAATTTTGTAAAATATGAAGAATTTATACAATATGAAGAGCAACTAGAGTTGGTATCCTACTAATTTTGGGTAAATTCGTTTTGCTGCTGAGCCAGCTCAGGATAAATTCTAAGAAGTGAAATTACTGGGCAGTCCTGACCCTTTCTAAGGGGTTTGATAAAAAGGGCTAAATGAGAATAGGAAAACGATTGCCATTTCTAATGTAGTACTTGGCCTGGTTTTTCAGGACAGGACAATGCCGCCCAAGCGTATAGCTAAGAAAAGGTCACCCCCAGAAGATGCCCTCCCAAAGAGCAAGAAGGTGAAGGGTAAGTTGGAGTTGGCTTTATCTGATTGTGGGTATCACTCTGGAGCCCCAGAATCTAGAACTGGGCCTCCTTCTCCTGTCCATTTGAAGCAGAGGGGCCTGGAGTTCCAGGATTCCGGAGGGAAGGTCTGCCACAACTCTTGTCTTCTACCCTCTGGGACTCCTACAGGGCCAGAGGGCCCCAGGGAGCACTGGCAAAATAGCGCACTAGACTCGAGGCCAGGGCCCCACGCACAGCTTCGTTCTGGTTAGCACCACTAACTTCCAGACACGGGTTCAGATCCTTGCTCTGCCACTCTCTAGCTGTGTCCCTTTAGGCTAGTCCCTTACCTCATTGAGGTGCTGGGAGGCTTCGAGAGAATGCTGGCAGCATTTGTTGGGGGATGGCAGTAGGTTCCTTTCTCGCGGGGAGCAGACAGAGAAGCGCTTTTGGCGTGGGAGGGGGGACGCACGGACCCACACTCAGACAGTGTCTGTCTCTTGCAGACCATCGTAACCAGGCAGTGAGGGCTGTTGCCTCCCACCGAGTTCCGGGCGCCCGCTCCTGCCAAGGTGCCTGCAGGCCTAGCCCTTCTGACCAGAAAACCAGACCAGGTGGCCATCTTGGCAGCTGTGGCCACACCCTGGGGAGGGGCTAGACGCCTTTGGCTGTCTGGGGTGCGGGTGACCACCAGCAGGTGGCTCTGCAGCCCTCTGATTGGCACTTACCTCTGCAAATTTACCTGTTGACTCCTACTCCTGCCACCACTTCCCCTGTTCTCCTGTGTGGAATTGTCAGGGACTTAAGTCAGCCAGAGGGTGAAACTGAGGGACCCCAGTGACTTGTCTGTGCTTGGAGCAGGGCTGTCCGAGGCTATTTCCCTTTCCTGGTAACCACAGCCTAAATATGGAAGGCATGAATAAGTTATAAGGGGGGCAGGGGCCAGGTCACATCCAGCTGTGCTCAGTGCTTACTCCTGGCTCTGCACTCAGGGATTAGTCCTGGCAGGCTTGGGGACCCTATGGGATGCTGGAGATTGAACCTGGGTTGGCTGCATGCAAGGCAAGCTCCCTACCCACTGAACTGTTGCTCCAGGCCCCACATATAACTCAGATGAGTACAGAGCAACCTAACGGTAGAGAAGGTCATCCACTTGGGAAGAGGAGACATTATTATTTGTGCAAGCTCTTGAGGAAATCTCTGCTGGGTTTCTTCAGCAGCATAAAATTTGAAGTACTGTCTCATTTCTCCCATTTCTCTCTCTCTCATGTCTGCAGTGGACTGAGCTACTTTAGAGTGAGATGCCTCTTAGGCAGTTTTGGGGAGTCCAGCAGCTGATGGTTAGGTTCTCTGGCCAGGGATGCAGTGCTTTGGGGGCACGCAGGTCCATAGGGTACCGGGGACTGAATTTCTGTGTAGCATAGACTTCAGCCCTTTGAACTATCTGGCTGGCCTTTGTTTTTTTTTTTAATTCTTCTTATTATTAACTTTTTGCTTTTTGGGTTATACCTGGTGGTGATCAGAGGTTACTACTCCTGGCTCTGCACTCAGGAATTACTCCAGGCAGTGCTCAGGGTACCATATGGGATGCTGGGATCAAACCTGGGTTGGTCTCGTGCAAGGCAGACGCCCTACCCACTGTACTATTCTCCATCACTAGCCCTGGGGTTTGGTTTTGTTTTTTCTTTTTGAGTCACATCCGACAATGCACAGGGGTTACTCATGGCTCTGCACCCAGGAATTACTCCTGGCAGTGCTCAGGGGACCGTATGGGATGCTGGGAATCGAACCTGGGCCAGCCGCGTGCAAGGCAAACACCCTACCTGCTGGCTGTGCTGTCACTCCAGCCCCAGCTCTTGGGTTTTAATCCAAGGCTCCTGGTGGTTGTTCTGAGGGATTCTGCTAGAGTAGGGGCTGGAACGCAGGGCTGTGTGACCCCAGAGCCCAGGCAGAGACTTCTCCACGCGCATGTCATCCCGTATGCTCAGGGCTGAATTTTTCTTCCTTCAGTCTCACATAGATCCCACAGAACAGAACCGGGCATGGTGCTAACTCTGGGCCAGGGCGACGTGGGCCAGCTGGGACTCGGCGAGGGTGTGATGGAGAGGAAGAAGCCAGCTCTGGTGCCGATTCCAGAGGATGTTGTGCAGGCAGAGGCCGGGGGCATGCACACTGTGTGTCTGAGCAGAAGTGGCCAGGTAGGGCAGGGAGCGACGGGGGTGGGCCCAGGGATGGGGTGAGAGGGGGGCCCAGGACAGACCAAGTTTGGATCAGGGAGGATGTGGATGGAATGGGCTTGGGGCCTGAGCCACACGTGGGGATGATGAACTGGGTGGCTGAGCAGGGGGCGGCCTAAATAGGAGTGGATTGATCCTGGACCCTGCACTGACTGGGCTTCCTGGGCACAGGTCTACTCCTTCGGCTGCAATGATGAGGGTGCGCTGGGAAGGGACACATCCGTGGAAGGCTCAGAGTCGGTGCCAGGGAAAGTGGAGCTGCAAGAGAAAGTGATACAGGTGTCAGCTGGAGACAGTCACACAGCGGCGCTCACCGAGGATGGCCGAGTCTTCCTTTGGGGCTCCTTCCGGGTGAGACTGGGTCTGGAAGTCTGCATGGGATCTGGCGGGCAGAATTAACGGAGGGGTCCCCAAGGAACCCATCTTGTGCCCCCACCAAAGTATGCAGAAGTGAAGGCTCAGTGAGCGAGGGCTGTTCCCGGCTCTCTGACAACTCACTCACGCCTTGCACACTTCTAGCTGATTCCTTGAGTCAATGTTAATGAAGTGCGTGTCTCTCTCCTGTGTTCCTCTCCTGCCCTCATGCACTTCCCAGAGGTTTTTGGTTTTGGGATGTTTTGTTGTTTGGTGTCCACACCCACCTGTGCTCTGGCTTACTCCTGGCTCTTTGCGCAGGGATCACTCCTTTGGGGTTCGGGGACCATATACCAGGGCTGGAATTCAGGTCAACTACATGCAAGGGAGACACCCTACCCACTGTACTGTTGCTCCTGACCCCAAGAGTATTTTGGTTTTTGCTGGTTTTTTTTTTTTTTTTTTTTTTTTTTTTTTTTTTTTTGCTTTTTGGGTAACACCCAGCGATGATGCACAGGGGTTACTCCTGGCTCATGGACTCAGGAATTACTCCTGGCAGAGCTCGGGGGACCATATGGGATGGGATGCTGGGATTCAAACCCGGGTTGGCCGCGTGCAAGGCAAATGCCCTACCCACTGTACTATCGCTCCAGCCCCAAGAGTATTTTGTTTTATGAGAATGTGTGAAATTCCCATACCTCAGAATTTGTTTTTGGGCCACACTGGTGGTGCCCAGGCCTTGCTCCTGGCTTTGCACTCAGATATCACTCCTGGTGGGACTCAAGGAATGTATGGGGTGCCGGAGTCAAACACGGATCAGCCTTGTGCAAGGCAGGTGCCCTACCCACTGGACTGTCTCTTTGGCTCCGTCATATCTCAGACCATCAAAGGCAGTGGAGAGTTTTAGAGACTAAGCGTAAAAATTGTTTTGTTTTTGGGAGGCCACACCTGATGGTGCTCAGCGCTTACTCCTTGGTCTGCACTCAGATCACTCCTGGTGGAGCTCTGGGGAATATAGGGGTGCCAGGGGTTGAACTCGGGTCTGCCAATGCAAGGCAAGTACCCTACCCACTGTATTATCTCTCTGACCCCACAAAATTGTTTTGGGAAAAATAAATATTTTAGGAGCTTTGGTATTTATTCTGTAATGTCATAAAGGAAGGAATTCAGGAGCTGGAGCAATAGTATAGCTGGTTGGTGCCTTGCCTTGCCTGCTGCTGACCTGGCTTTGATCTGGGACATCTCATATGGTCCCCCAGGCACCAGCAGCACTAATTCCTGAGCACAGAGCCAGGAGTAACCCCTGAGTATTGCCAGGTGTGGCCCGAAATCAATTTATAAAATAAATAGGTGGAGGCGCCAGAGAGATAGTACTGTGGGAAGGGCGCTTTCCTTGCATGTGACGGACTGGGATTCAATCCCCGGCACCCCACATGGTCCCCCCTAAGCCCCACCAGGGGTGATATCTGAGCATAGAGGCAGCAGAAAACCCTGAACACTGCTGCACAGGAGAAAAAATTGGTGCTTGAGATAACACAGGGTAAGGAACTTGCCTGTATGCAATGACCCAGGTTCAATGTCCGGCACCCCATGTGGGCTCTCGATCCCCGGATTTGACCCCAAAACAAGGGAATCCAGAGGAGGGGACTTGACTCAGTGGTAAGCATTTAACTTTGCATGTGTGAGAACCGAGGCTTAACCCCAGCACTGCAAAACAATAAAAGACTCTGGGATGGGAATGTGGCTCAGTGACAGAATGCTTGCTGTGTGTGAGTGAGGCCCTGGTTCCTAACACCACACAATACCTCGAGCACTGCCAGATAAGGCCTCAAAACTGAAGAAGAAGGAAGAAATAAATAACTGTCAATGGTAAATCAAATAAATTTATTCATGTGTTTGTTTTGGTTTTGAGGTCGCTGCTCAGGGATCATTCCTTGAGGGACTATACAATACCGGGTCAAACCTGGGTTGGCCATGTACGAGGAATACACCTCACCCCCTGATATATCTCTTTGACCCCTCAAAACTGTTTCTATTAACATAATTTGTGAAATCAGAGAAAGTGCTTCATAGGCAGAACACATGCTTTGAAGTGGGAGGCTGGGTTCCAACAGAAAGGATGGGGATTGTATCTTGAACCCCTTTTTACTCAGTAGTTACGAACACGAAGCTGGCATGTTTATTTTTCCTCTTTATTCCATTCGTAGCCCCTTACCTGTTAATTTTAATGCAAATCACAGACCATGTGTGATTTTGTTCGTAAGTATTTCAATATGTGACCTGGTTCTTGTCCACCTCTGTCTCCCCCTTTGTCGTGCTGGCCCTTCGTCAGTCTGCCCCTCGTGGCTGCCCACAGCCAGCATCTGACTGAATGTCCACCTCCCCCTTCCCAGGACAACAACGGTGTGATCGGACTCCTGGAGCCCATGAAGAAGAGCCTGGTGCCTGTGCAGGTGCAGCTGAGCACGCCCGTGGTGAAGGTGGCCTCAGGTGAGCCTGGGATGTCCTGAGGAGCGGGAGCCTTGTTGGAGGGCTGGCCCAGCTGTGGGCAGAGAAAGCCTGTTACCCTCTGCCCTCTCCCCCCCCCAGGCAATGACCACCTAGTGATGCTGACGGCTGATGGGGAGCTCTACACGTTGGGCTGCGGAGAGCAGGGCCAGCTCGGTCGTGTGCCGGAGTTGTTTGCCAATCGTGGTGGCCGGCAGGGCCTTGGTAGGTCATGTAGGTCTGTTTCTCTGGCAGGCAGCTAGGCAAGCCACCCCCAGTAAAAGCAAGTCGCTAGAGGTAGCACGCGTGTGTGCATGGGAGCAGCAGCCGTGGTTACAAACTCAGACGCCAGGGCTAGGAGTGGTAGCTCAGTGCTGATGCTCTGCAGGCGTGAGGCTGCCACCTCCTGGCTGTGGAGATAGAAGAACGTGGGGCCAGAGCAAGGGCTCGGTGGGTTGAGCTTTGCATGCTGAAGGCCCAGGTTCAGTCTCCAGCACCGCATGGTCGGCTGTGCAAGAAGAGGGCAATCCCTGAGGATTAAGCTCAGAGGAGCCCCCGAGCACCTCTGGGTGGGACCCAGAAATTTATTTGTTTTGTTGTTGGTGGTGGGTCTCATTCTCCTGATAGGTCTCATTCTTGAATATAATCTCAGGGCTAGGATGAAGGAGACGTTACTGGGGCCTGCTCAAGGCAATTGACGAATAACAGGATGATCTGTGATCTGTTGGTGGTGGTGGTGGTGGTGGTGGTGCTGTTTTTTGTTTTGTTGCTTTTTGGGTCACACCCGGCGATGCTCAGGGGATATGCCTGGCTCTGCACTCAGCAATTACTCCTGGCTCAGGGGACCAGATAGGATGCCGGGAATTGAACCTGGGTTGACCGCATGCAAGGCAAGTGCCCTGCCCATTGTACTATTGCTCCGGCCCCAGGACCCAGAAGTGTAAAAAGAAACAGAAACATAGAAGAATGTCTTTCATTTGGGAGGTCCCTGAAAACGAGACTCTTTGGGATGGGAATGCAGCTCAGTGGTAGAATTCATACTTGGCATGAACCTTTTTCACCAGAAAGGAAGGAAAATGTTCATGTTAATGGCGGGTGCGGCCCTTAGTGTTTTGCTTCTGCAAAATGGGGTGAGGAGCCCCTGCGTAGCCTCCCTGCAGGGCGTCAACAGTGGAGGAGAAGCGGACAGTCGAGGCAAGGCCTGTGTGTCTGCCACTCCCCGTGGCCTTCTCTTTGCAGAACGACTTCTGGTCCCCAAGTGTGTGATACTGAAATCCAAGGGGAGCCGGGCTCACGTGAGGTTCCAGGATGCCTTCTGTGGTGCTTACTTCACCTTCGCCATCTCCCGTGAGGGCCACGTCTATGGCTTCGGCCTCTCCAACTACCATCAGCTTGGTGAGTCCCATCAAGCGTCTCCCTGTAGAACCAGGGTTTCAGTCCAGGGGTCCCCGCGAATTGCTTGTGCTCTCTTGATGGGGTACCCGGGCCCCTCAGAGCAACAATGTTGTCGTCTGGAGAGTGAATGACTCTCATGGTTGAGGTAGGGTGGTCTTACTGAGGAGGGGTTAGACAGAAGGGCAGGTCCTTGGACCCTTCACCCTGACACTTCTGTCCCATCTCTTACCTCCCAGGAACCTCGGGCACAGAATCTTGCTTTATACCCCAGAACCTGACGTCCTTCAAGAACTCCACCAAGTCCTGGGTGGGCTTCTCTGGTGGCCAACACCACACTGTCTGCATGGATTCGGAAGGTGGAGCCTTCGGGTCCTCCTCTGGGCCTGGGGTGGAGTGTCCCTGAGCACAGGCCTGGTCAGACTTCTGAGAACATGGTCCTTGCCCGGGGCCCTGGGTCCTCCATGGAGTGGGCCAGGCCCAGGTCCAGGAGTGTCAGTCGATCCTCCAGAGCCTTGGCGCCCTTTCGAGTATGGGTTCGACCTGGGGAGAATCACTGCAAACCTTCCCCAAACCATCCTGAGACTGGGGACAAGTCCCCGCAGATACCAGGGGCTCACCGGACTGCCTGCAACGGGCCCCGTGCAATTCCTCATCTCTCCCTCCTCCTGCAGGGAAAGCGTACAGCCTGGGCCGGGCTGAGTACGGGCGGCTGGGCCTCGGGGAGGGTGCGGAGGAGAAGAGCGTGCCCACCCTCATCTCCAGGCTGCCTGCTGTCACCTCAGTGGCCTGTGGGGCCTCTGTGGGCTATGCTGTGACCCAGGACGGTGAGTGGGTTGATTGGGGACTTGGGGATCTTGGTTCTTATTGTGTTTGAGGTTACACTCAGCACTGCTAGGGGGAGGCGTCAGGTACCCTTCGCCCAGTAGTGCGTGGGGCTAAGTTGCAGAGATCACCGAGAATGGGGCTCTGCTCCCAGTTCTCAGAAGTTAACAAATAATTTTGATAAAGGTGATTTGTTCTGTAGAAGAGAAAAGCAACAAAGCAAGGGCTGGGTCACAGACAAGCAGCCTCGCTGAGATCTGGACGGGCAGTAAGACTTGAGGGGGCTGAAAGAGAGTCCAGCGGGTAGATGCTTGTCTTGAAGATTCGATCCCCAGCAACCCCTGTGGTCCCCCGAGCCCTCCAGGAGTGATTCCTGAGTGCAGTGCTAGGAGTAAGCCCCAAGATAGTCGGGTGTGACCTTTAAAAAAAAAATCTTGAACCCAGGTCTCCAGGTTTCTGACTCAAGCTTGGCTTTCTACCAGGGTGACTCGTTTATTTACGACCCAACTCTTCCAGCTTCCCAGGGAGCTGTGCTTAGTTATATTGTAGCACTGTAGCACTGTCCTCCCAGCCGGCACCAGTAACATCTCCATTGTGAGTTTTTTTTTTTTTTTTGCTTTTTTTTTGGGTCACACCTGGCGATGCACAGGGGTTACTCCTGGCTCTGCACTCAGGAGTTACTCCTGGCGGTGCTCAAGAACCATATGGGATGCTGGGAATCGAACCCGGGTCGGCCGCGTGCAAGGCAGACGCCCTACCTACTGTGCTATCTCTCCAGCCCCTCCATTGTGAGATTTCTAGTTACTGTTTTTGGCATATCGAATGCACCTCTGGTAGCTTGCCAGACTCTGCCGTGTGGGCGGGATACTCTCGTTAGCTTGCCAGGCTCTCCTAGAGGGACAGAGGAATCGAACCCGGGTCGGCCATGTGCAAGGCAAACACCCTACCCACTGTGCTATTGGGCGAAAGAAAGGGAAGTAGTATGGAGAAGTCTGGAATCGCTGAACCCACTTGGTCTGGGTAGCCTGAGAAAGGGCTTCAGCACACTTTGAAGGCCCTGACCTTAAGCCGGCCTGTGTCCCAGTGTGATCCCAGCAATGCTGGTCTTGGATCTAGGCTGTTGGTGGTGGTGGGGCGTGACCAGTCCTTAGGGTTTGAATGCCATGCTAGGGGTAGGGAGGTCTTTGCCAAGGGATAAGGACTGGTCCCTGGTTAGCAGCATCCTTGGCTTCTCACTTCCCTCATTTCCCAGAGGCTGGGACATGACCAGGTTGCTACGGAACAACGCCAGACACCCCCAATGTCCCAAGTTTCTCACACTGTGGAGAGGTGGGACAGGGGATCCTAAGAACCATTTCTACCTCATTTCTCTCCCGTGTAGGTCGTGTTTTTGCATGGGGGATGGGCACCAACTACCAGCTGGGCACAGGCCTGGAGGAGGACGCCTGGAGCCCCGTGGAGATGACAGGCAAACAGCTTGAGAACCGCACGGTCCTGTCTGTGTCCAGCGGAGGCCAGCACACAGTCCTCCTGGTCAAGGACAAGGGACAGAGTTGATGAAGCCTCTGAGGGCCTGGCTGCTGGGCCCCCCCACGCCCTTCCCCCCAGAACAGGGAAGCCACGAGGACTGCAGGGTGCAACAGGCCTCCCCCGACCCCAAGCGTTCTGTCACCTCCTGCCTTTTCCCCGTGAACAGAATCCATTTCCTCTTTCTCCTTCTCCTTTCCAGAATCATCCTGGGACCCGCAGGATGAAGGCGGTGTGGGGATGAGGGGGGCAGGGAGTTGTCTGAAGGAACATGACTCGCCCCAGAGCGATGTGGTCAGCCCGCCTCCCCCTATTCCTACCTTCTCTGGTCCTGGCTGAACTTGTTTTTGCCTACCAAAAGTAAAAAACTTCTACCTGGGGGTTCAGGGTCCATATGCTGAGAAGTCAGGGCTCCCCTCAAGCTCTGCTCATGTGCCACAACCTTCTGTCCTTCGCAGTCACACAGAAACAATACCATCGTCAGATCTGGCTTTTGTGAACCCAGATTTGGGATGAACTAGAGAACGGATGGAGGCAACCTCCAGCCAAACGGTCTTACACAGGTGTCTGGGAAAAAGGGGCGTGGGAAGGCCAAGTGACAGGAAAAAGCCAGTCAGCCTCTCGGAAGCACAAAGTACTCTGCCTTTGGGCATTGCCGGTTGTACCCCACTCGTTTCACCAACAAGGGCCCCACCCCAAATCTGAAAGGAAACTCTGCCTGCAGGGCAGGACACTCTGGGAGAGGAGGAGGACAGAGAGCTCTAGACAAATTTATAGCAATATTGAGAGTGAAGGGACAAAAAAAAAATGGAGAGGAGGCTGGACCCCAGAAAGGGAAGCAGAATCTAGTACAGTAGCTAAGGAAAAGTCGTGATTTTTGTTTTATTTTTAATGTAAAATATTTTGGAGGGAAGAGTGAAACCTTTTAACGTTTTTAATAAATGTAGAGTTTTAAAGACAGCAGCTGCTGTAGTGGGAGAGGCAGACTAAATCATGTGGCCCTGAAAGTGAGGACAAGGCGAGTCATTCCAGTGGGTGCTAGTCCACTGTTGGCGTGGCTGGCCCAGACCAGTCAGAAAAGAAAGGAGTTGATTGGTTTTTATTCAGGTACTTACATTTCAGGAATCACCAGATTTTTCCTTTATGCTGCATAATACAAAAAATAATGGAATTGATTTGCTTTGCAGTGCTCAGTATCAAACCCAAGACCTCCACATGTGCAAGGCGTGTGCTCTACCACTGAGAGGCCTCCCTTGCCCTCAGTCTTGGAGCATCCAACCCCAAGCCAGGTGTTCTGAGAAGTCTTACCTCCGGAAATGCTTATACTAAGTTTGTATCATGTTCAATACCTGATCTACTTGAGTAAACAGGATTGATTACATAATCACTCCTCAGACCAACTTGTACTTGAAAATGGCTTTTCTTAGTTTAGGAACCAAATCTTACAGAACTGACCTGTCCATGGTAGTCATTTAAAATTTGTAAAAATTGGAGGCTAATTTTATTTTAAGTCCCTGCTAGTCACATGTTGGGCTGTGCAAAGACAGAAATAGACTATTTCAAATTATAAAAAATGTCAATATTTAATGCTGATATGGGAAGTTTATATGTGTAATGGAAGTTTTATTAGCACCAACGTTCTTAGATGTCAGGATTCTTGGAGAAATGAATATGGTATAAGCTAATGATGTATTCTGTGACTTATTTCCCCCTGGAACTTTTGCTTCTGATGTGGACACATTTGTGACTAGACTTATATCTCAGAAAAACCATCTTTGATTTCATTATTTTCTGAGCAAAAAAGCAAAGTCTGTTTGGATTAAATTGACTGGAGTTTTCTCTTGATAATACAGACATTTGAAACTATCCTGTTATTTGGGGGAGGGGGACACACTTGATAATATTTGGCACTACTCCCAATGGACTAGCAGTGCTGGGAACTGAATCTGGGACTCATGCAAACCATGCATTGCAGAACTTTGAACCCTCTCCCTGGACCGGAAAGTAACCCCCCCCTTTTTTTTTGGTTGGTTTGTTGGGGGGGTTACACCTGGTTGTGCCTAGGGTTTACTCCTGGCTCTGTGCTCAGGAATCACATGGGGGGCTTGGAATCATATGGAATGCCGGAAGTACAACTCAGATTGGCATATATCACTTGGCCCTAGACAGTTCTTGTAAAAGAGCAATGGTTCCGGTTGGTATAATAGCTTGTTTAATTCTCAGATCATCCCTGGAAATAGTTTCTACGAGTTCAGTTAAGACTTGAAGCCTGTCAAGTGCACAGGCTAGGGGCCAGAGCAATCAGTTGTACAGCAGGTTTTTACTCTTTCGTTGCATAGCCAACCCAGGTGCAATCCACAGCATCCCTATGGTCACCTGAGCCCAACAGGGTGATTATTGAACACTGCCAGGTGTGCCCCTCCAAAAAGCGCACAGGCTGGACTGGAATCTATATCAACCTCCAAATTCAGATTATCAATCCTGTGTGTGGTTTCTAAGAGTTCGGGGTAGGGGTGGAGCAGAACTCTGGAGATAGTATGAGGATTTAGGTGCTTTCCTGTAGCTAGCAGTGCGCACTGCATAATCAGGTCCTCCTGCACCACCAGGTATGATCCCTGCACATCATTCTGAATAAACCCTGAGCACTGCAGGATGTGGCACAAACCCTCCAGCCGCACAAAAAGTTGTATAGGGCTGGAGAAAAGTATGGGAGGGGGAGGTGGCATGCCTTGCATGTGACTGATTCCAAACCTGGCACTATAAGGCTTTGCTATTATGAATGTTCACCTAATGACCCTGTTAATAGTTATCTTATCTTTAATATGCTTTTTTGGGAGGGGAGGGGATACCTGAGTAGACTCGGGTCTTATTCCCGGCTCTGCACTTAAGAACTACTCCTGGCAGGGCTCAGAGAACCATATGAGGAGCTGGGGATCAAACCCAGAGGGTCACATGCAAGGCAAACGCCCTATTCCCTTATTCACTGTACTATGGCTGTAGTCCCCAAATGTGCTGCTTTTTTGCTAGCAGTGTCCTTTAGTGCCAGTGTCTCAGGAATGAAAATCTTGGTGTTTAAAACACCAGTGCTCTTGTTTTTTTCTTTTTCTCCATCTCTCCAGCCTGTATTGATTACCTCAGTAAATATAATCACAGTATTTCCTATAACTAAATGATATTTAAAGTTATGAAATAAGTTAACTTTTTTTTTTCTTTTTGGGTCACACCTGGCAATGCACAGGGGTCACTCCTGGCTCTGCACTCAGGAATTACTCCTGGCGGTGCTCGGGGGACCATATGGGATGCTTGGAATCGAACCCAGGTCGGCCACTTGCAAGGCAAACACCCTACCCGCTATGCTATCACTCCAGCCTCAAGTTAACTTTTTTTCATAAAAATCAGAGAATGGAGATAGCACCACTAGATGTAATCAAAAACACAAAACCACAGACTCATTGTAAAAAGGTGCATATATAAAAGGCTGGGGAAAGCGTAAACCTCTAATCCTGGCTGAGTGTGGACCTGGAAGGGGCCAGTCACTAAACTATCTGAAACTACAAGAGAAGGTATTATTCAGAAACATGGTTAAAGGGCCAAAGAGATAATTAGGAAGGCAAAGCACATTGTTGCATGTGGTTGGCCCTGCTTCTAATCTCCAGAACCATATATGGTCTCCTGAGCACCCGTAGGGCTCACTCCTAAGCATGGAACTAGAAATGTTGCAAGTCCTGGAATGTAGTTCAATGGTAGAGTACATGCCAGTTATGGCAGCACAGAAATGTTTATGCACAGATTCTAGGCGACCAAGATTTGAACATAGTTGACTCAAACACCATGAAGTGGGGGGTTGGTGTTAATGTATATCAAGTTCAATTTCTGGTTGCCACTTCAAAAATGGAGCAAAAAATAGGGGCTGGAGCGATAGCACAGCAGGTAGGGCATTTGCCTTGCACGCGGCCAACCCCAGTTCGATTCCCAGTATTCTATATGGTCCCCCGAGCACCATCAGTAATTCCTGAGCACAGAGCCAGGAGTAACCCCTGTGCATCACAGGGTGTTACAAAAAGAAAAAAAAAGGTGCAAAAAATATTGGGGCTAGAGAAATAGTACAGAGAGTAGGGTGCTTGCCTTGCAATCCACTGACCCAGGTTTGGTCTCCAATATCCTAGGTGGTCCCCTGAATTCCACCAGGAATAATTCCTGAATGGAGCCAGGAGTAAGAACTGCCGGGTGTTTGCCCAGTCCCCCACAACCCTCGCAGCCCCCCAAAAAGAAAACAGCAGGTTAGAGTGCTTGCTTGCCTAGCATGTGGCCAATTCTGCTTTTATCCCTGGCACCCCCAAATGGTCCTATGATTACAAAACCAGGAGTCAACTGGTGTGGCCCAGGGGAAAAAAAAAAAACAAACATGTAATGCCTGAGACAGTATTAGGCGAGAGAGGAATAGAATTTGTGATAAGAATTTGGGACTGTACAGCAGGTCGATTCCCTGGCACCCCATATGGTCTCCCCAAACACCGCCTTGCTTTGCATGTAGCCAACTTGGGTTCAATCCCAGCACCGCATATGATCCCCTAGCACAGCATGGAGTAATCCCTGAACACTGCAAGTGTGATCCCAAAGCAAAACAAAACCAGCTCAAATTCCACATAGTGGGGGGGAGGGGGGAGGGTGAAGGATGACTAGGATAGACCACTGGCAAGTCCAAGGTCACACTGAATTAGTGGTGTCACCTTGACAGGATATAGCTCCAAGTGGTGGAGAATTACCTGACTTGTAGGTGCCTTGTTGATCCCCCGGGTCTGACACAGTTCCCAGCAATTGCAGGCTTTTATTTTTTGCCTTTTGGGTCACACCCAGCGATGCTCAGGGGTTACTCCTGGCTCTGGACTCAGGAATTACTCCTTGCAGTGCTGGGGGTACCATATGGGATGCCGACGATCGAACCGGGTTGGCCGCATGCAAGGCAAACGCCTTCCCCGCTGTACTGTCAATCCGGGCCTCGCAATGGCAGGCTTTAGCCCCAACAGTTGCTGAATTTGACCCAGGCATCCCGCAGCACCTTCCAGGCCCACACAGCCAGAATTAAAGTTGTGCGTTCCTCTCCCCCACCATTTTTATATGCACCTTTTTACAATGAGTTTGTGGTTTTGTTTTTGGTTTCATCTGGAGGTGCTAGGGGCTATTCCTGCCTCGGAGTTTAGGAGTCCCTGCTTTGTCCGTGACCTTGCATCCCATATGCAAAACAAAGGCTCTTCTCTTAGGGGTCTCTCATCAGTTACTGTTTTTCTGCTGGAGATTTGAATCTAGACACCTACAAGGCCAGTGCCCTACAGTGGAGGCCCCATTTCCGGCGGAGGACAAGCCAACTTTGCCTGTGCAATTTCACATTCACAGGTGAGGGGGCTTATTTATTTGGGTGCCAAAAGTTGCAGTACTTGGGGCCGGAGCGACAGCACAAGGGTAGGGCGTTTGCCTTGCACGCGGCCAACCCGGGTCTGATCCCCGGCATCCCATATGGTCCCCCAAGCACCGCCAGGAGTAATCCCTGAGTGCAAAGCCAGGAGTAACCCCTGAGCATTGCGGGGTGTGACCCAAAAAGCAAAAAAAAAAAAAAAAAGTTGCAGTACTCAGGGGGACCTCCCGGCTCATGCAGGACCGTGCGGTGTACTGGGTGAAACCCCGCTGTCCAGAGCCTGCAAGGCCTGCGCTCTCCCCACAGCCTAGATGAAAGTCCAAACCCGCTCGGACAACGTGTTTCAAACCCCGCGGCTCCAATCCGGACCCCGCCCTCCGCGGGCCAGGAGCGCCGCGCGCGGCTGGGCCGCGGGAAAACCTGGGGCGGAGTTCCGGACGGCCGGCTCGGAGCGTGCGCTGGCAAGCCTGGGGCGGAGTTCCCGGGCGACCGGCTCGGAGCGTGAGCGGGAAAACCTGGGTCGGAGTTCCGGGCGGCCGACTCGGAGCGTGCGCGGCGCGGCGCGACGCGGGCGCATGCGCATGCGCACCGGCGCTCTCCGGCTGGCGTCCGCGCGGCCTCCGCCGCCCGCCGCGTCCCGGCCCCGGCGCGGGCATGGCCGCCAGCCTGTGGATGGGGGACGTGAGTGAGGGCCACGAGGGGCTGAGAGCGCAGATGCCAGGGGTCCTCCTCGAACCTTGAAAGAGGAGCAGTGGCTGGGGAGGCGCGTTCTTGGGGCGACGGCGCGGGTCCCGCCCGCAGCTCAGGGGCCGAGACCCCCGCTGAGTGCCGGGTGCTGGGGGGCCGGCGGGGCGGGCACGGGGCCCTCAGTCTGCGGGAGCGGCCCCCTACAGGGCTTCGGAGTGACCGGGGCAGAGGAATCGGGGTCCCGACCCTGCGTGGTGGGTGAGGCTGCCCCCCACCCTTCCAGCCCGGCGCCGCCCCCAGACGCGCGAGGCCTGCCCTGGAGGGGCGGGAGCTGCCAGGACGGACGGGCCGTGGTTCGGGGACGTGCCGTGGTCCAGGAGGGGCGGGAGCGCCCCCCAGGGACTTGCCGTGGTCCTGGAGGTGCCGTGGCCCGGGATGTGCTGTGGCCCCCCGGACAAGCCGCGGCCCGAGCGCCCCATGAAGCCGAGCTCTCCTTTGCGCAGCTGGAGCCCTATATGGACGAGAACTTCATCTCCAGAGCCTTTGCCACCATGGGGGAGACCGTGATGAGCGTCAAAATTATCCGAAACCGCCTCACTGGGTATTTGGCTTCCACCTTCTCGGTTCTCCCGTCGTAGCTGCGAGTTTCAATTCTCGGGGGAGTGTCAGCGTCGCAGGAAGGACTCCTTGTCCCCAATCACCTTCCTGATAAAGGAGTCAGAGCGACTTACCTGAGGGCTTTCTAAGAGGTCGTAGAGTTGGTTGCACTGGATCTGGGGAACCTGGCTGGCTGGGTTGGAAAACTTCTTGCATGGCCTTAGGCAAGTGACTGAGGCTGCTTAGAGTTGGGGTGAGGATTAAGTGAATTGATTTGCATCCCACATTTAGTCCTGTGTCTGGTATGTGGTAATACAGTATATTATCCTACACACGTGCTTTACATACATATAATATATATGCAGCATATGTATTATATGTATGTATGCATATAGTATGGACTCAGGAAGTACAAACAGATTGGACTGGAGCGATGTAGTATTTTAGTTAAGGTGCCTGTGCACGGAGAATACAGTCAAGTGAATTCTGAGCATTGTGCCAGTAGTACGTAGCCCTGAGCTCCAAGGACTAGATCAAAGCCAGCTCACCCACACATACATAATAAAGAGATGATCTGTAGTAAGCTCCAGTTGGCTTTGGAGCATCCCTTTGGCGCTGGCAATGCTTTGGGGACCCTTGTGCAGGGACCAAGCCCTGTTTTGTATGCAAGCTTGTGCTCCAGTCTTGTGAGCAAGCTGTTAGCCCCCTTAAAAAAAAAACACACACACACCGAATAAATCATAAAAACCTCTGAGTTAAGAACTATTTTTTTTTTTTCTTTTTGGGTCACACCCAGCAATGCACAGGGGTTACTCCTGGCTCTGTGCTCAGGAATTACCCCTGGCGGTGCTCAGGGGACCATATGGGATGCTGGGAATTGAACCCGGATCAGCCGTGTGCAAGGCAAACGCCCTACCCGCTGTGCTATTGCTCCAGCCCCAAGAACTATTATTAAATAAGTTAATTGTCCTAAAGTTATGTAGCTATAAAGTAACAAGCCAGGCCACTCTCCTCAAACCTCATGAATGCCTTTTACTCTTAGGCCATTGAATGAAAATGGAGAGTGGGACCAAGGGTGTGTCTCAGTGACAGGATGCGTGCCTTGTTTATGTGAGGCCCTGGAGTCTTAGGTTCTAGCCCCTTACAAAGATTTTCAAGTGACATATAAGTACACTAAAGATAACTGGAACTGGAGCGGTGTTACAGGGGGCAGGTGCTTGGCTTGCAAATGGCTGACCTAGGTTTGATTCCCAGCACCCCGTTTGGTCTCCTGAGCCTGCCAGGAGTGATCCCTGAGCACAGAGCAGGAGTAAACCTTGAGCACTGCCAGGTGCTCAAAAACCTAAAATAAAATAAAGGTGGGCTTATGCATGTGGGAGTCCTGCTTTTGATCCCCAACTCGCATTGTCTCCCAGCACCTCCAGTGCTCAGCTGGGAGCACTGTCAGATTTGGCCTAAAACCTTCTGTGACACACACAGCAGGCCTGAATTCAGGCCACTGTTCTCAGTATTCACCATTAGTGAAGCTCATAGACTTATATTGGGAACCTCGAGTAGTCAGCCTTTCATTCTTGGTATTTGAACTGAAGATCTTAAAATCATATTTTCAGAGAAGTTTGGATGACTTCCTTGTAATTGCTTTAAAGATAACATTAAAGAAAATTAGCTGTTTTCATTATAAATCACATAGTAGGAAAAGGATGCAGGAGAGTATTGTAATATCCTATTTAATGTCATTTAGTGATGCCTTCAGATATACCTACCAGAACTATCAGTTTCAGATACAATTTATTAGCATGGCCTACAGTAGGTGATTTTTGTTTTGGGGCCATACCAGCGGTACTCAGGGATCACTCTTGGTGTGCTCGGGGGATGATATGGGATGCCAGGGATCAAACCAAGGTTGGCCACGTGCGAGGCAAATGCCCTACCCATTGTATTATGACTCTGGCACCATGGGTTTTACCTTTTGATGGAGGTTAATTAAGTAGAAGTTTGTGACTTGTGACCAGTCATGGAGATACAAAACTGACGCTTCCAGGTCTGGCCTCCCCTGGCTTTGCTCAGGATGCATTTATCTTCTTTTTGCAGGGAGGGACCCTCCCAATGGTACTCAGAGTTTACTCCTGACTCTGTGCTTAGGGATCGCTCCTGATGGTGGTCAGCGGACCATAAGCAGTGCTGGAGATCTAAGTGGGATTGGTGGCACGCCAGTCCTTGCCTACCATATTGTCTCTGTGGGGACTCAGCATTCAAGAAGGCCGCCTGCCCGTGGTCCAGCTCTGACCACCTATCAGCTAAAAGTTCTTTTTACACTTATACAGGTCCCAGCCACTACATGGCACATGTATGGAAATGGTGGGAACCACCCCCAGCAGATGGAGACCCCATGCTGGGGTCTCTGAGGTGACTTTGGGTCATTGGCTAGTGCACAGTCTTGTCAGAAAGGGGACTTTTGGGTTATTACAAAATCTGGTTGGCACCATGCAGAAGTTTGTATAGCAGGAGGCGAACTGCACAGTAGATCACAGGCTGCATTTGCAGATTCTTGACTAACATGTACAATATCCCAGCTCATCAGTTATTAGGAAGCCCAGTCACTGATTATCAGCTCCTGTTCGATCTCCAGTGTGAGATCTGACTTCTGTAACATTTCTTCTTCACAGCAAGAATTTCTCATCTGAGGGTCACATCTTTTTTCCTTTTTACATTTGTTTTCAGTCTCCCACAGCTGTGCTGGGGATTGGGAGCAGGGGCAGGGAAAGAAAGCCTCACCGTTTGCTGAACCACACTCTGGTGCTTGCCACTCAGAGGCCCGGTTCAAGAGACAAGTGTTTGTGTGGCAGAAAAATAGATTTATTCAGGTGCTCAGAACACTTCTTAATGGGCAGGAGGGATGTTCAAAGGGCTGGAGCATATGCTTTACATACAGGAGGCCCAGGTTCAGTTTCTGGCACAGCATGGTCCCCCATGCACAACCAGGAATGACCCTGCGCATTGCTAGTGTGTGTGTTAACCAAAAAAAATCTTCAGAGAATATCTTAAGGGTGCTGGAGAGACCGCTGGATGAACTGAATGCTTGCTTTGTACGTGGGAGGCCAGATTAAATTCCCAACACCACATGTGGTCCCCAGAGCACTGCCAGTAGCAACTTTTAAGCACAGAGCCAGGAGAATTTCCTGCGCACCGCAAATAAATAAGCAAATATAATTTTAAACGGGTCGGAGTGGTAATATAGGGGTTAAGGTGCATACCTTGAATGTGGCCAACTCCATTTCAATCCCTGAGACCCCATGTAGTCTCCTGAGCACCGCTAGGAGTGATCCCTGAGCACAGAGCTAGGAATAAGCGCTGAACAGTGCTGGATATGGCCAAAAATAAAAATAAAAACCGAAAGCATCTTGGGAAGAGGATGTGGCTCCTCCATAAAGTATATGCCTTACATGCATAAAATCTATGACACCACACATGAACAAAAAAAAAAACCCAAGCCTGTTCCATCTGTTCCATTTTCACATTGGGGCTATATAGAGCTGATTCACAGGGTAAATTAGAAGGAATTAAGGGTAGTGGGTCAGAGGGAGAGGAAAGTCCTGTCTTGAGGATGATGTCAGAGGTTAATGAATTCCTAGAACAGGGTGATGTTCTGTTCTTTATAGAAGTGTGAGATAACTTGGTTAAACAATATCCATCTCTCAGGTTTGCATGATAATCTTTTAGAATTCTTTCCAGAGGGTTGGTATTTGATTTTACCCCCTCCACGCATAATTGCATCTGTTTTAACATTAAACAAACACTGTAGAGGCCCGAGAGATAATACCAGTACAGGGTTGAGATGCTGGCCTTGTACGTAGCCAGGAGTGACACCCCCCCCCCCCCCCCAGCCCAGCACGAAGTCAATACTAGTGATGCTTCCCTCTCTCCCATCACTGCTGGGTATGGCCTAAAAACTAAATATACAGTTCAGGATTGGCAGATGGGGCAAAGACCAAGGGGGAGTTCGAAGGTACCGGATGTAAATGTGGAGTCTGATGCTTGCTGAGGATCTGCCCTACCACTTACACTGCCCTCTGCCCTGGAAATGACATGTTTAACGGTGCTGTTTCTCTATTGGCTTCCTTTCTAGGATCCCAGCTGGCTACTGCTTTGTAGAATTCGCAGATTTGGCCACAGCTGAGAAGTGTTTGCATAAAATTAATGGGAAACCCCTGCCAGGAGCCACACCTGTAAGGACATTCAGATAATGATGTTGCCATTGTTATTGTCAGTGATAACTATCATTTATTCCTACTGTGTGTTGATATTTTTTAATCTTGTAACACCCTGAACAGTAGGCATTGTTGTCTTTGACAGACCAGGAAGCTGAAGCTCAGGGAAGTGGAGTAACTTGCCCAAGGCAACACAGGTAGTAAGTGGCAGAGCCAGGATGCCTACTGAAGATTGGTTGCCTCTTAAGTCCATGCCCTTTCTGCACCACTACCTCCCATTATGGAAGACTTGAGACTCTAGATCTCTTGCCTGATTGAGAAACTAGAACAGGCTGGCAGCAGTGAGGCCACGATGCAAGAGAGTTACATTCTGCTCTTCCCACAGTTACTTAGCTTACAGCTGCACCAAGCTGGCACACCTGGGCTCATAGAACCATGGAGCTGGCAGTGCCCTTAGCGGTCATCCGTCAACCCCCTCATTTTATACAGGAGAAAGAGCTGAGGCTTAGAGAGGGGGAGATATATTGGCCAAGGTAATTTATTTCCGTTTTTTTCAAATATTGTTTGACTCTTGAAACACCTTTCTCTGTTTTAGTGTGTTTGTTTTTAAATTTTTAGGCCAAGCGTTTTAAATTGAACTATGCCACTTATGGAAAGCAACCAGACAACAGGTGAGTACAGAATGTCCCCAAGGCAGCATCAGGCCCCAGGAAATGCCCTGGTAGAGACTCTACCCCTCACCCACTCCGCACCATAGGCCCTCTGGTCTGCTTGTGTCTGTAGTCCCATGTCGTCTGTTTGTTTCCTCTCTCATGTCCACTGTAACTCTTCACATTACTGAATTTTCTTTCCTAAGAAGTAGCCCGTGGGCTGGGACTGGAGAGGTTGTACAACAGGCACGGCATTTGCCTTGCACACAACTGACTCAGGTTCTGTGATTCCCCGAACTCCGCCAGAAATGAACCCTTAGCATAACCAGGAGCAAGTTCTGAGCACTGCCAAGTCTGGCACAAAATTTTTTTAAAAGGATAAAAAGGAAATAGACTGAAATGGGGACTAGAGAGTCAGTGCAGCAAGTAGAGCGCTTGCCTTGCACCACACAGCCAGCTGGGTTTGCTGTTCAGCACCCCATAAGGTGCCCTGAGCCAGGAGTGAATCCTGAGCACAGAGCCAGAGTGAGTCCTGAACACTAGGTGAACTTTAAAAAAAAATGGGGTTGAAGTGATAGTACGGCAGGTAAGAGGCACTTGCCTTACATGCAACCGACCTGGGACCATCCTTGGCATTCCATTTGGTCACCCAACAACTCCAGGAGTAATTTCTGAGTGTAGAGCCAGAAGAAGACAGCCCTGATAAGCCTTGAGTTTTTTTTCTCTCCTCTTCCCTCCCCTCCCCTCTCCTCCCCTCCCCTCTCCGCTGTTCAGCACCCCATAAGGTTCCCTGAGCCAGGAGTGAATCAGTGAATCCCCTCCCCTCCTCTCCCCCCTCCACTATTCCCCTTCCCCCTCCTCCCCTTCTCTCCCTCTCTCTCATGGCTCAAGGGGTTACAGAGTTCGTACAGCAATCAAGATTTTTTGCCATGTGCACACAGACCTGGTTTTGATCCTCAAACCTTATGTAGTCCACTAAACCCACCAGGGTGATCCCTGAGCATAGTCAGTGTGACCCAAAAATAAAAAAACAGCCTAAGTGATAAACCAGTGAATAGGATGCTTGCCTTAACTTGTGGTCAACTGAGGTTCTATACCAGGTGTTCCACCTGGAGCACCGCCCAAACCCAAAAAGTACATATATACACCTGCTGAACTCATGCACTGTGTGCTGGAGGCCTGGGATCCCTGGCACTTCATGGTCCCCCATGCACAGGTGGGACAACCACTGAGCTGTGCTGAGTGTGACCCAAAAAAAACAAATATTATGTATAGGGGGGGACTAGCATGTAACTCTTGAATGAGACCTGGGGGTTTGATCCTCTGCAAAAATTTAAAGCCAATATACCAATGGTATTCTAAATAGTTTTTAGAATTTCTTTTGGGCTAGAGCAATAGCACGGCGGGTAGGGCATTTGCCTTGCACGCAGCTGACCGGGTTCGATTCCTCTGTCCCTCGGAGAGCCTGGCAAGGTACCGAGAGTATCCTGCCCGCACGCATGGCAGAGCCTGACAAGCTCCCCGTGGCGTATTCAGTGTGCCAAAAGCGGTAACAAGTCTCTCAATGGAGATGTTACACTGGTGCCCGTTCAAGCAAATCGATGAACAACGGAGGACAGTGCAACAGTACTTTATGGATGTGTCTGACTATTAGCCCTTACAGTTACAGTGTTGATATAGCTCACCAGTAGAGCATATTCTTGACTTGTATGAGGGTTGGGCGTTTTGACACCAGAAAAGAGGGGAAAATTGAAATATATGTCTCATATGAAAAATATATCTCATGAAATATATGAGAATTGGGGCCAGAGGTGGGCTTCACACAAAGTGCACTGTTTTGTTTGGTTTTGGACCACACTAAGCAGTAGGCTTACTTACTCCTGGCTGTGTGTTCAGAGATCCTCCTGGCGAGTTCAGAGGGTGCCAGGGGAACCACATGGGATGACAGAGACCGAACACGGGTCAGTTATGTGCAATTCAAGCACCCTACCCACTGTACTGTCTTGCTGGTTCCTTTTTTTTTATCTCTTAAGCACCTTTGCCTCCTCATGCGTATTCCGTAACACTTAAAGTGAGACAAGCTTTGCGTATTTGCGGCAGGAAACTCCTGTAACCCTTCTGCCCACACTTCCAAGTGAAACAAAATCTAAATTGATCTACAAAAGTGGACCAAATAGAACAGAAGTTCTGGTTGTCTCTGAATCTTGGTCTTTCTTTTCAGCCCTGAGTACTCCCTCTTTGTGGGGGACCTGACCCCAGATGTGGATGATGGCATGCTGTACGAGTTCTTCGTCAAAGTCTACCCCTCTTGTCGGGGTGGCAAGGTGGTTTTGGACCAGACGGGCGTTTCGAAGTAAGATCTTCTCTGCAACCAATGCTTCCTCTCTTACTTGACACATTTTCCTCTAGAGGAGATTATTACAAAGAGGCCATGTAGCTTGGTGCTTATGAGCACAAGCCCTGGAGCCCAGCTGCCTGCTTTGATGCTCGGCTCCAGCATTGGCTGGGAATGATGCCGTTGGCCAGTCTCTTGACACTCAGACCCCTATTTCTGTTGACTAGAGCAAGACAGATTGATGGAAGATAGAGTTCCCCTCATTCCCCTTTTATTTTCTATGATTTCAGTGATTTAGGATCAGCTGAGGTTTGACAGTATCACATATGCTGTCATGGGTACTGTGAGAGAATTCACAGGCTGTTGGAGACTCCCGTGCAAGATGTGAGTGAGTTCATTCCCCAGTGCCACCACGCCTGCCGGGTGAGATCTTGGCAGTTCTGTCGTCCGTGGTCCCTGGTGACACACAGGTTACCACTGTTCTGCAGCTCGTGCAGAACAACAAAAGGGCATGTCTATGTCCCTCCCCTCATAACTGAAAAGATATGTGACTATTCTGCCCGGAATTCAGCCCCCAGCAAGCACATGTATGAATGCCACAGGAAAGGAGCTCAGAGCTCCTCAGTAAGGCATGTGCAACCCCTAGTCATCACAGCAACCTCCATAGGGAATAGATGGTGGGATAACAGGAGGGGTCAGAGAGATGCTACAGGCATTTTCTTTGCATGCAGTTGACCTGGGTTCGATCCCTGACACCCCATATGATAGGAGCACAGAGCCAGGAGTAAGCCCCGAGAATTGCCAGATGTGTGCCCTGCCCCCCCCCCCCAAAAAAAGTCTTACATATGCTATAATAAGATACAAGAGAAGGTCAGAGAGATAGCTCAATGGGTGGATACAGCTGTGTGCAGAAGACCCACGTCTGATTCACAGCATCATATGGTTACCTGATGGAGAGGAATGTCTAAATACCACCCAGAATTTAAGAAAAATTGAAGAGAAATGTAAGGTCTAAATAGTTGACAGTTAAGGTGTGTGTCTTTCTCCCCTGGTCCCCCCCCCCCCTTTGGGCCACACCTGACGGGGTACCTCTTAAGATCTGAGTTACCTGAGGGGTAACTCTTAAGATCTGCACTCAGGAATTGCTCTTGGCGGTACTCGGGAACCATATGGGATGCTGGAGCGCAAACCCAGCTGACTGTATGCAAGGCAAACACTGTACCTGCTAGACTATCACTCTGGCCCCAGAGAAGCTTGTCTTGCATGCAGCGGGCTCCAGTTTAATCCCCAGCACCCTCCGAATCTGCCAGGTGTCATCCCTGAGCCACCAGGTGTGGCTCAAAAATAAAAAGATTATTATGCTTGCCTTGCATCCTGACACCACATAATGGTTGCATAGCCCCCAAGCACTGCTGGGTGTTGAGGCACTGCACACATACACACACATAAAAAATGTTTTGAACTACATTGGGCTTGCATTGCGTGGGTCCACTTAGACTTGAGATTTTTTCTGTCCTTGGGTCCACATTCACAGATTTAGCCAACTGCAGATTTGAAATCCAAGTATATGGAGGACCAGTATAAAAAAATGTGGAGTTTTGGGGCTGGAGAGATAGCACAGCGGGTAGGGCGTTTGCCTTGCACGCGGCCAACCCGGGTTTGATTCCCAGCATTTCATATGGTCCCCTGAGCACCACCAGGAGTAACTCCTGAGTGCAGAGCCAGGAGTAACCCCTGTGCATCGCCAGGTGTGACCCAAAAAGCAAAAAAAAAAAAAAAAATGTGGAGTTTTGACCACCAGGCTCGATACCCTTAACCTTCCTGTGTCAGTACTGTCTACAGTTTTGTGCCTTCACTCAGTCTTAGAACCTATAGACAGGTAAGGATGAACTGCTCTTAGGTGTTCTGAAGATTAGATGATACATTAGGAAATGACTCATGATTATTACTTCAAAGGCGCATTTGTATTATGTTTTGTGAAGCTAGGACTCAAATCCAAAGTCCGAAACATTCAAAGTAGTTGCTTCACCACTCAGCTACATCCCTGGCCAAAAAAAGGCTCTTTGGTGGTTTGGGGTGGGACTGGCATGCCTGGCTGTGCTCAGGGGCTATTTCTAGTTCTGTGCTCAGGGGTAGCCCCTGGCATCATGTGTAACGGTGCTGATTTCAGCCAGTCAGCAGAATGTAACTTTAACCTCTACTCTCGGCCCAGGCTCATTCTTCCTGCATGGTTGGGGATGGTTGGGCAACAGCTAGCAGTCCATGGGAACGACTTCCTGCTCTGTGCTTGGGGATCACTCCCAGTGATAGACCCAGAGGACTCTGCAGTGCCAGTGATCGAACCATGCGATTAGCATGGTTTAGCCATATGCAGAGCTAGCCTATCTGTGCTCAGGGCCTATTCCTGACTCTGCTGGGTAGCTAGGTGGGTGGACTTTGGGAGGGGCAACCATATGTGGAACCCAGGACCTAATTAGGGTCTGCCTCGCAAGGCTCATTTTTTTTTTTTTTTTGGCTTTTTGGGTCACACCCGGTGATGCACAGGGGTTACTCCTGGTTCCTGCACTCAGAAACTACTAGTAGTGCTCGGGGGACCATATGGGATGCTGGGAATCAAACCCAGGTTGGCTGTGTGCAAGGCAAACGCCCTACCTGCTGTGCTATCGCTCCAGCCCAAAAGGCTTATTCTTGATCCCAAGAGCAGTGCTTAAGCTCTGGGCCCCGAGGAGTCTGACAGGCCTGGACTGGGATCCTTCTTCCTCTTTGGCTTAGGAGGGGTTCTTAAACCTCTGAGTCTTGACTCCCTCCAGCAGAATGTGGATCCTTTCCCTCTTCATCAGATTGCTGGACTCTTCAGGAAGGTAGCCCTCAGGAAGGCTTAGCACAGTGCCTTGGGAATAACCACTCCGCATCTGTTCGCTGCCGTCCATTTCTCCCCAAGTCTGTGTGCTGAGGGGAACAGGAGCCTTGTCTGCGTGTGACTCCCAAGTGCCACTCCCTAGCGCAGTTGTGGCATACACATATCCTTGCTCCGAGTGAACGTCTAGCACTGTTCTTGCCTTTCTGGTCAGGAAGAACATCAGGCACTTACCATAGCGACTGAGTATTGGGAGCAGCATTGTGCCTGGGTCCACTCAGGGAAGGTGTGGGGGAGAAAGTCGAGCTAAAAGTGGGGACCCTGCCGTGCTCGGGCTCCTCCGTGCTCGACGCCTGCATTGCTCATTGATGGGCTCCCACCTGTGGGGTCTCCTCCCTCCCCCCTCAAGCAGTTGACATATGCTCTCCCTTTTCAGCTCCTTGTCCACCTGCGCACTGACACATTCACACGTTGTGATCTAACTAGAGTGTTCTCTCTGGCAGAGGCTATGGATTCGTGAAGTTCACAGATGAGCTGGAACAGAAGCGAGCCCTGACAGAGTGCCAGGGAGCAGTGGGGCTGGGGTCTAAGCCAGTGCGGCTGAGTGTGGCCATCCCTAAAGCGTGAGTCTGGCTCTGGCTGGGGCAGTGGAAGGCTCTGAACTCCCCACATACTGGTCTCTCTTTGTTGTTTTCAGGGTGTGCACATGTTGAACCCGCCACGGTTCCCATCGCCAGGGCCCAGTGTTGAGCTGTCAGGCCAGGTGGACTGAGTGTAGCCAGCCATGGCCCCTGCCCACCCTTACCCCCCAAGTTATATACCAAATTTTTACAGTAAGTTAAAGATGGCTGGGGACATAGCTCAGCAGTAGAGCACTTATTTGCCTTGCATTCTCTGAGGTCCTGACATCACCACCCAAAAAAAAGAAACAAAATTTAGTTCAAGTATCAAGTAATAAATGTGTGTCACTTGTTAGGCTTGTGCTGAGTGGTGGATATGAACAAATATAACTCCCCCAGGAGGGAACTCTGAACCCTGTCAGTTGTGGGACAAAACTGTACCTCAGTTTTCTCGTCTGTAAACTAGGAATAAAGGTGTCCTTATTGCATATGGTTGTTAAGGAGATTATGAATCTGTTAAGAGAACCTCAGGCCATGGAGAAAGTCATGGACATGTCTGCTTACAAGAGTTTGTTTCCTATTGGTTCTTGATTTAAGGAGTCGTGTGAAGCCTATGGAATATAGTCAGATGTACAGTTACAGCTACAATCAGTATTACCAACAGTACCAGAACTACTATGCCCAGTGGGGTTATGACCAGAACACAGGCAGCTACAGCTACAGTTACCCCCAGTACGGCTACACCCAGAGCACCATGCAGGTAACCGTGACTGGGCAGATTTGGCTCTCCTGGGTACTAACATTCTCTAGGATGGGGTTGGTAAGGGAGGGAGCATGGGCTTCAGAGGGAGATAGTCAGATGTGCAATTCCAGAAACTTTAGTCATCCTTTACCCTGTATCTTCACTGAGCTATTCACTGTCCTCTGGTCTATTGGCAGACATACGAAGAAGTTGGAGATGATGCCTTGGAAGGTAAGAAAAGAATTCTCTTTTAAGGGCTGGGGCTCAGAGGGTGGGAGTACATACTTTGTATATGGGAGCCTCGTGTTTGATCTCCAGTAGCCCACGATCTCCCACGCACTGCTTGGTGTGATTGTGACCCAGAAACCACAAAAGATACTCATATACTCTATCTTCCATCCAGAGTCCCGGGAAAGCAGCTCCATAGAGAAAGGAACCCACTCCCCACCCCACCCCTCTAAATACAGACTTTCCATAGCCCTCAGTTTGTGCTCTAGCAAAAGCATTTGTTTGACAGCTGGAAAATCAGCTCTTTATTTCAAGTTCTCAATTTTTTGTATGTATTTTAAGTGGCATGGGTTTTCTTTGTTTTGGGGCTACACCCAATAGTGCTGGACTGTTTTCTGGAGTGGAGGAGGCATGCTGCACATGCTCTGCTTGACTGTTAATCCCTCCTGTTTTATCCTGGCTTCCTTAGGAGTTCTGGGAATCCACACCCAGATGCAAGGCATGTGTTCTATCATTTGAGCTACATCCCCAGCCCAAATTGAAAATTTGAGCACTTAATGAAATGATACCTGAATTCAGAGCCAAAACAAGACTCCCCTGCCCCCCCCCCAAAAAAAATTTTTTAATTAAAGCATGAGTAGGGCCAGATAATTCAATAGGTGGTACAGCATTTGTTGCATGTAGGAGACCTGGGTTCAATCCTTCAATTCCTGTGACCAGCAAACCCTGCAGAGTCAGGAGTCGCCTCTGAGTACTGCTTGGTTTGATTCCCCCAAAACAAAAATAAACCAAAGAATGAGCACTCTGCTCGGTGTGGAGCACAACTTACAAAAACATAACTATCGGGGCTGGAATGGGGAGGGCGCTTGCCTTGCATGCAGCTGACCTGGAGTGGATTACCAGCATCTCATATGGTCCCTTGAGCGCGTTAACCCCTGAGCATCACTTTGTGACTTAAGAAACCTCTTCACTGTACTGTGTAATATTGTGTTATAATATATAGTATTAAGAAGTTTGTTCTGTGGCTGAGGAGATGGCTTATTGGTACTTGCATGTGTTACGGACCTGGGTTTGATCCCCAGCACTATGAAAATATTTTTATTTCCCATATAGTCTCCTAAGCACCACCAAGAATAATTCCTTAGTGCGGAGCCGGGAGTAAGGTGACCCTGAGCATTGTGGGGTGTGCCTCCCCTTTTGTTTTCTGGAAAATGCTCTCATAAATCAAGATACTCATTAGTTTTTGAGATGAGTGATAGTACTGTGATTAAGATCTTGCAAGCAGCCAACCAAAGTTCAATCCCCAGCACCCTCTGTGGTCCCTCAAGTACTGCCAGTAGCCCCTGAGCATTTGCTGAATATGGTCCAGAAACTTTACCATACTAACGCATAGCATGTGATGGCTCAGAGACCCAGTGGTGGTTTTGACTAACTGAAGTACTAGTCTCTGAACACTACCTGTCCCATTCTTTTAAGTGTCACAACCCCACTTTCACTCTCACTGGGATCTTGTGAGCAGTGTCTGCCCTATGGGGAGTAGGGATCCTTGGAAGGACAGGGAGGCAACAGGAAGTCTTGCTAAGCACTTTTTGTATAGTTCCAAAGCTGTCTTTCAAGCTGTCTTTCTCTTCCAGACCCTACACCACAGCTGGACGTGATTGAGGCCAACAAGGAGTTCATGGAGCAAAGTGAGGAGCTGTATGATGCACTGATGGACTGTCATTGGCAGCCACTGGACACAGTGTCTTCAGAAATCCCTGCCATGATGTAGCCAAGCCAGAATGGACTATGAAGGAAATAAGACATCTTTTAAAAAATAACTTTTACACCTTTATACTGAAATGTTTCCAGAGATATTTCTACAACACTGCTACCTTCATTTGAGTTGTTCCGAGTTTGATTACTGTGCCAACTGAGCATTACACAAGTTCAAAGTTTGGGGCCTGAGTGTCTCTTCCCTCAGTCATTGTAGATTGAATCTCAAGCACCAGATGAGGCAAAAAGAGAGCCATTTATCTATGATAATGTTTCAAGAACTAGAATCTTTAAACATGGGGCAGGTAGTCACTCAGCAATGCAGATGATCTAACTCAGGTCTCCACAGAAAGTATGTCATCACGTGATGTTTGCATCTGTTTGGTGCCAGACCCACAGTAACCATTTACAGTCCAACTTAGCTGTATCACAGGTAGCACTAAGGATCCTGAGCGCAAGTCTAATATTTGAACTATCAGAATATTTCAATAATGCCAAATATGGCCCCCAAAAAAGCAACCCAACACCCCTTGCTCCCAAAACCCAACACCATGAGAAACAAAACTCATGAGAAACATTTCATGATGGAAACTCCAAGCTTTATTTGATCAGTTTGTCAGGTATTGACATTATTGCTGAGGAGTAAGTACAGTCATCTGCAATTGCTTGTCTTCTGAGTTGCAGCCTAAAACCCCACATATCCATTTTCCAGCTTGTCTCTTCACTTTTCACGCTAGAACAAAGTATAGAGCCAATGTATCAGAGTTTGTCCCAGTTATAATACCCAAGCATTTTTCTACAAACAGCAGGTCTCAGTCCCATATCCGCATTTATCATCCATAGATGTCCATTCAGATAAGGTTTCATCCTGAACCAGCTGAACTAGTAACCCTTAACTACAAGGAACTCATTTCCACCCCAGCCCATCAGTCACGAGCTCAATCAAGCTACTATGGTGTTCACAGCAATCAGGCTTGCCCAAGATGCCCAGGTACACCCCAACAGTCAAGTCAAATACAGCTGTTCAGGTAGTTACAAATATATGGGCCATTATTATACACAACAGACCAGGGTTCATTCTCCAGCACCACATAGACCCCCATACTGAAGATCCCCTGAGCTCAGAGCAAGATGAAGCCTTGAGCACAGCCAGGTGTGGCCCAAAACATGAAACACTTAAGACCTGGGTGCAACCTCTGGCCCTCAAGAGTAAAGACCTGAGTTTAAAGGTCTAGATTCATGGGGCTGGAGCAATAGCACAGTGGGTAGGGCATTTGCCTTGCATGCAGCCCATATGCCCCCCCCCCCCAGCCCAGCACCCAGCACCGCCAGGAGTAATTCCCGAGTGCATGAATCAGGAGGAGTAATGCCTGTGCATGGCCAGGTGTGACACAAAAAGCCAAAAAAAGGGGGGGGGTTTAGATTCGATTTCCCTACTGCTTAAGAGTTCCATCCAAGTCACACTCTACCTCATGCTGCAGCTAAAACCAATCTCCAACCACTCAACTTACCTAATAACATAAATTCACAGCAGGAGCTTTATTGATAATTTATTGATGAAGACCTGTCAAAATAGATCAGAGGGAAATTAATGCATAAACTCTTCTGAAATGTTCGCTTTCCATCACTATAACCAACTACCCAGCACTTTGTGCACTCATTTTTCTGAGCCACACCTCACACCTGGTTCCATACTCTGGGATTACTCCTGGCATGTTTGGAGAGCCGTATGGAATTCCAAACAAACCCATGGCAAGCACCTTAACCCATAGTATTGTTGCTCCACCCCTGTAGATCCTTTAAGCCCAGCTTTTCTCCCAGGTATAGCATCAAATTTGAGAATTCAAGTTTGTCTGAAACTAGCCCATGTGCTACATGGCAGACTCAGGAGCCCTGTGAGGCCAGCTTCAGTGTTACTATCCCTCCCTTTACGACCACCAAGACCAGTGTTCAGATCCGATGGGAAAGGGAACAGGAGGGTCAGGCAACTCCTCATGACCTAACTTTACCTTTAAAGGAACAGCTCCAGCGATCAGCTGTCAGTTTCAGCTATTTCAGAAAACCTGATGGCAATCAAGAAATGTTAGAGGTTAATAGTTGATAATATTACACATGAGTATCTGAACATGATGCTGAAACAACTCAAGGTTGAAGGCCCCAGGGCCAGAACCTTTTTAGTTTATAGGAAAGGCGAGTGGCAGCTGCAGGTACTGGCGACCTGTGCTGTCAAAGTCTCTCCAGGTTGCTCTCGCATGCAGTTGGAGATACCGTGGACACCATCAGCCACAGACCTTGGAAACATGCTACCCTAACTTCCCCAGGCAATTCCCAAATTTTGTCTCAGAAAAATAAAAACCCACACACCCACGCCAGGGCAGTTTAAGGCTTCATCCCAATACTCCCCACTCACCAGAAAGCCTGAAATATTCACTCAGGATAGCTAAGAACTGTCCTACTAGATATTCTTTCCTTCACCTAGCCATCGGCATCAAAGGTTTTGGCTTCTGCTGGCACAATGTCTCCTTCTTTAGGGGAAAGAACAAAACTAGTTAATGGCCGTTGCTCCCAGGTTGTCCAAACCAAACTCCCTCTCCTCCACTGTTTCACACATCCAATTACTCAAAGGCCTGTTGGAAGTAAGAGCATTAAATTCCCACCAACCTAGTGCGAGGAGTAAGTTTAGGCCACACCCAAAAGCACTCAGGCTGCTCCTTATTCTAAAACCCAGGCCCAGCACATAAATCAGCGCTCCGGCGTGCAGCATTGTATTCCCCACTCCAGGTACTTCGGTTGGGTTATGTTTTTATAAATAGCAAATAGGGTCAAGGATAATTCTGCTGACAAGGACGCTTGCCTTGCCTGAAACTATGGATTTGATCCCCAACACCACATCCAGTACCCCCCAAATATACGAACACTAAGATATACAATGGAAACTGTCTTTTCCCGAAATGTTGCAGATCAGTTACTACAAACAGAACGGCGACCGTCAAGGAAAACTGTCACTCTGGGCTCCTTTTTGACCACAGCAGCTATGTGGAAGTTGCTGCAGCTTCGATAAGGGCCACAGGACAACCCCAAATGCAGTTTAACCAGCAGACTCACCCAAATCGTGTGCAGCAGCAGCCGTGACTTCCTGTAACTCGGCTGCTAGGCTTTCTGGGGTCTCGGGGGCATTCCGTAGGTCCAAACCGCTGACTAGCGCGGACTCGCTTGATCTTCGCCCTCATATAAACGTTTTAAAGAGCAGTTCAGGCCCATCATGTTGCTCGCTAAATCTGACCTACCAATGTAAAGTGGAAAAACCGGGATTCAAAGGTGGTAACAGCCGTCCTCCTTGACCCCCTTGCTTCATATCCACCCACCAAGGTGACCTTTACCACGTGCTACACGGGCTGATACAACGGCCTCTGCCTGGGGACCACCCAGCAGGCAGTTTACCCCGAGCGTATTCAATACACCACCTCGTTGCACCTTCTACTGAAGTCACTTCAGACCCAGAACCACGCGGCTCCCAGGCCCGACTCGCGTTACTCACCGGCGCCGTGGGAAGCGCGGGGCGAAGGGCGCGGCCCTCGTGGACTCCGGGCCTCCCATTGCGCACGCGGCGGACACAGCCCGCGGGGCGCCGCTGCTGCGAGGGGCGCAATCACGGGCACCCCGTGCCGCCCTTAACATGCCGGAATGGGAGCAGAGCTGCAGGCGGTAGGGAGAAGAGGAGGCTAAGAACGATAAAGGGTGCGGAAGGCGAGCATCTGTTACCCGGAGACGCTCCAGGCAGGCACAGGGCATCTGGTCGAAAGGGCGAGCCGGCGCCGGAACGGAGCTTATATAGTCTCCACCCTTCACTGCCGCGCGGACTGTTAGCGTATCGGGCCGCACAGCCCGCTGGGAGTTGTAGTCCATCCCGGCTGCCGCGTCTCATGGCACGTCCTATTAGCGTAACGGCCCGCTGGGAGTTGTAGTTCATCCTGGCTGAAGCGCCTCGTGGTTTGTACGCATCCACTCCACTCAAGTACTGTAGTGGACCTTTTTCGAAGTGAGGAGGGATCCTGTAAATTATTTTTATTTTTGGTTTTTGGGCCACATCCGGCAGCGCTCAGGGCTTTCTCTTGGCTCTGTACTCAAGGAGATCCTAAGGGATGCTGGAGATGCTGGAGAAAGCGGGTCGACCGCGGGCAAGGCAAGCGCGCTACCCGCTCTACTATGGCTCTGCCCTCCGGAATTTTATTTATTATTATTTGTTTTAAAGAATCCGAAGAGGTTCTTTTTTCTTAGTTCAACTCTTAAGTTTCCCTGAATCCGCCTGAGCGGATTCAGGAATAAGTCCTGAACAGAGTCAGGAATAAGTCCTGAACAACGCAGGGTGTGACACAGAAACCAAAAAGCTGACAAAATATATAGACTTGAGGGCTGGAGGGATAGTACAGTGGGTAGTACATTTGTATTGCCCAGAACAGTCCGGGTTCCACCCCCCTCCCCACCCCCTACCCCATATGGTCCCCTGAGTATCACCGGTTGTGGCAAAAAAACTATATACATGGGCTATTGAGGCCAGGGAGATAGTACATTGGGTCCTTGCCTTGCACGTGGCTCACTCGGATTTAATTCCCCAGCACCTTGTTCCTGCACAGAGGCAGGAGTAAGCCCGAGAACAGCTGAGTGTGGTCCAGTCACCCACAACTCACCCCTCCAAAATAAAATTAGATTGTGTAGGGAGGAGTAAGTAGTACAGGTGCTAAGGTGCTTGCCTTGCATGCAGCTACCAGGATAGGATACATGGCACTGAAACATGCCAGGAGTGATGATTCCTGAGCACCCACCAGTGTGTGTCCCCCTCAACCCCCAAGTAAAGTCAAACTGAGTTCGGATGAAGACTGATTTGTCCCCTCACCTTGTCAAGAAGTTCAACCTGTGGCAGAGAATGTTGCTTAATGGTAGAGCACAGATCTCTCCGTGGGAGGCCCTGGGTTCCAGCCTTATCCATCAAAGTTAATAAATAAGAGGCCGCTGGGAGATAGATGGCTCACAGCACTGGTAAACATGCTCTACGTGCAGCAACCTCCGGTCTGGTTCTTAGCAGTGGTCGATCAGCAGTCACCACCAGAAGCAGCCTCAATACAGAGCTGGGGGCTGGAGTGACAGCACAGCGGGTAGGGCATTTGCCTTTCACGTGATCGACCCCAGTTCGATTCCAGCATCCCGTATGGTCCCCTGAGCACCGCCAGGAGTAATTCCTGAGCGCAGAGCCAGGAGTAACCCCTGTGCATCGCCAGGTGTGATTCAAAAAGGAAAAAAAAAAAAATACAGAGTTGGGAGTAGCCCTTAGCACTGTCAGGTGTGACCCAAATAACCACCTCTCTTCCTCCCAAAAGGCATAGGGCTAGGCAGATACAGAGATACATAGCGGTACACACATACTTTGCACATTAAAAGCCTTGAGTTCAGGGCCAGGAACATCGTTAAATGGTTTGCCTTAGGTGGGTTTCATTCTTGACACTGCATGGTCCTCTGAACACTGCTGGGAGTGACTCACAAGCAGTGAGTCAGGAGTAGGTCCTGAGCATTGTCAGATATGGCCTAAGAAATTAACAAAAGAAGGACCCAAGTTAAATTCCTTATTCTACTCCCCCCCCCCACACACACACATACACACACACACACACTGCCAAGTATGGCTGGCCCTGGTAGCCCCTAAGCAGTGCTGCAGCGCAGGGCCCAAGTATTGAACCATTCATCAGGTTACCAGGTGTTACCAGGAGGTGGCCCCAGAAACCTAGCTCAACAAGAAAAAATTTATTTTATTTTATTTTTTTATTTGCTTTTTGGGTCACATTCAGTCAATGCGCAGGGGTTACTCCTGGCTCTGCACTCAGGAATTACTCCTGGCGGTGCTTGGGGGACCATATGGGATTCTGGGAATCGAACCCGGGTTGGCCGTGTGCAAGGCAAACGCCATACCCGCTGTGCTATTGCTCCAGCCCTAACAAGGAAAAATTTAGAGAACATTATTCACCTGCTCAGAAGTTGCCACTGACTTCCTGATACAGGTAGAATAAACCCTTAAAAAAAAAAACAAAACCACTTGGGGCTGGAGGGATCGTACAGTGGGTAGGGCATTTCTTGCATACAGCCGACCCAGGTTTGATTTCCAGCATCCCATATGGTCCCCTGAGTAACCGCCAGGAGTAATTCTTGAATGCAGTGTCAGAAGTAACCCCTGAGCATCACCAGGTGTGACCCAAAAAGGAAAAAAAAAATCTCCATGATGATCTTAGAAGTCTGTTTCATTTTGAGTGTGTGTGTGTGTGTGTGTGTGTGTGTGTTGGGGGCAGGGTGATCAGGAGGCCTTGGGGCTCCTGCTGGAGATTTTGGGACATCTGGGCCAGAATTCAATGCAAGGGTCCGTGGATACAGTGTTACTTGGGCCTTGCAGTGCCAGATATTACCTGGGTCACCTGCAACTGCTCAGGAGCCTCCAGGGCCAGACCCAGCAGTGCTGAGGGCCTCTGGAGCTGCACTTAGCAATGCTTGAGGGACCAAACTGAGGTTAGTGGCTGGAGCCATAGTACAACAGGTAGGGCATTTGCCTTGCATGCAGCAGACCGGGGTTCAATCCCTGCCATCCCATATGGTCCCCCAGGCACCATCAGAATTGATTCCTGGATGCAGAGCCAGGAGTAATTCCTAAGTATCATGAGGTGTAGCCCAAAAAACAAACCAAAACCAAACCTGAGTTTAGCTCTCTGCAAGACTTGTACCTTAACTCCTGTCCTATCTCTCCAGCCACCACTTACATTTGGCTTTCTCTCTCTGTTCTCATCACCCACCCCCTTCTCCTTTGTTCATTTCTTTTGGGGTGCTACAGGGAAGCACAGCAGCGACGCTCAGCGCTGGTTCTATATTCAGGAATCACTCCTGGTCAATTCAGGGACCCTCACGGGATGCCGGAGATCAAACCTGGCTGGCCATGTGCAAGTCAAACGCTCTACTCACTGTACTGTTGCCTCTGTCCCTTTCCCTTATGCATTCTGCTCCCTCTTCCTAGTGCCTTTCTTGGAGGGGTAGGATGACCAGACCTGGAAGTGCTCAGAGGTGCTAGCTTGATGCTCAGGCATCATTTCTGGTGGCCCTTAAGGAGACTGTGGTGCAAGAATCAATCTGTTCTCTAATATGCAAAGTTTGTGCTTTGTCCCATTGACTGTCTCCCTGGCCTCTTTCCAGTGTCCTGAGAGCACTGCATGCCTGCTCCCACCCTGGGGCCTTTGCTAGCCTTGCTGCCTGCACTGTCCTCCCTATGTAGCTCACAGACAGCTGTACTAGTGCTCAGAGCCCCTGGGTTCAACCTGTTGGAGGACCCCTCAAGACTGGGGTTGAGCCTGAGCCTCTGGCATGCACAGAATGCAGCTATCTCCTCGGTCAAAGTGTCTGGAATTTAAGAGTTGACCAACAGCTATTAAAATACTTATGAAGGGGCCGTAGTGATAGCACAGCAGATAGGGCGTTTGCCTTGCATGCAGCCAACCCAGGTTTGATCTCTTGACATTCCATATGGTCCCTGAGCACTGCCAGGGGTAATTCCTGAGTGCAGAGCCAGGGGGGATCCCTGAGCATCACCGGGTGTGACCCAAAAAAGCATAAATAAATAAATTACATACTTATGAAAAGAGTGGATACATCCATGAGTAAAACTTGGCAGGCAACCTAGCTAAGTTGGAAGTAAAGCCTTGGTCTGTAGAATGCAAAGATACAGAGCCTGCCTGCTAGGACACTCTCCATGCCACTGCCCCCGCCCCCCCAAGTCTGGTCTGGCTGACTGAGAAGGGGAAGCAGGGCTGGGAAAGGGAAATAGTTTGTTCCTGGGTCACATACTGAGTCTCTGGTAAGATCAGCTGACATCTGGATTTGGGTGCCAAGTGCAGTCATAGACAGGCACATGACCTCCACCCTTGGCAGCAGCGGGGTGGGTGGGTGGGAGAGGAAGTCCTGGAATGTGATGCTGATGGTGCACTGCCCTGTGAGCCCACTGCAAAGGCTTCTGGGATCCAAGCGCTCTCCGCCTGTCTGCAGAGCTGTTCTTCTCCAACCTTCCCGGCTCCCACTGGCCTTGGAAAATGAAGCTTCGGCACCATCTCTTCAAGAAGTCTCTCCAACCTGACAGCTCCCTGATTCTGACTTTATTGTGGTGTTTGAAAAAAAAAAAAACTAAAATGAGTGAATGAATAGCACTTATCCACTTTCACTGATTCTTCAACCATTCCTGTTTCCTGATTTCCCATTTTGTGCCCAGCACTGAATAACCAAATAAAGCCATTAGTTCCTAAAAAAAAAAAAAAAGAAAAGAAAGAAAAACACCCCCACAATACGCTCACAGTCCGGGAGGAGACAGACCCTAAGAGACTCCTAGAGACTCCTAGAGACTCCTAGAGAACAGGGTTTATTTTTTTTTTTTTGGGGGGGGGTTGTTTGGGAGGGAGTCCACCTAGCAGTGCTCAGGGCTTACTTCTAGCTCTGTGCTCGGGGATTGCTCAGGAGACCATATGGAGTGCCAGGGATTGAATCAAGGTCTGCCATGTGTGGCTGCAGCCATAGCAGGTTATTTGCCTTTGCACACAGCTGACCTGGGTTCGATTCCCAGCATCCCATATGGTCCCTCCAGCACTGCCAGGAGTAATTCCTGAGTGCATGAGCCAGGAGTAACCCCTGTGCATCGCTGGGTGCGACCCAAAAAATAAATAAATAAAAGGTCTGCCATGTGCAGAACAACTTTGTTTTTGTACTATC